TGGAGCCTTGTTTTTCACCAATGCCGTCAATGAAACTTGGACTTATTCCTTTAGTACTATTAGTCCTTGATCATATGCTGCCTCTTGAAATGGTTGAACATTGACCAATTTCTTTTGGTATCTTGACTTTCATCTTTCTGTTGATGCTTTCTGAATCATTCAGTATCTTACCAATAGCATCTTTCAATAATGTAAGTCAAGGTTTGATATTTTTCTTCAGTTCTTTCAGCTAGCCGAATGCCGAGCAGGTTCTTTCTTTTTGGTTTTCTAACTCCAGGTCTTCGTGCATTTCATCATAATACTTGACTTTGCCTTTTGACATTTTATCTCATCATTTCTTCAAGAGGCTTTAGCTTCTCTATGTTCAAGAGCAAGTTTCAGAGTCTCTTCTGACATACATTCTGGTAGTGTCTTTCTTTCCTGTCTTTTCAATAATCTTTTACTTTCTTCATGTATGATGTTCTTGCCCATGCCAGAATTCTTTTGGTCTTCTGTCACTAGTGTCTAATGCATCAAATATGAGGTGGGATATATTCAAGGTGATATTTTGCCTCTCACTAACTTGTTTTAATTTTCTTCAGCTGCAGCCTGAAATTACGTATGAGCAATTGATGACTTGTTTCACAATAGCCCTTGGCCTTGGTGTGGTTGATGAATCTGAGCTTCTCCATAGTTTCTTCCCACTCATGTGGTCAATTTGATTCCCGCATATTCCATCTGAAGAAGTCCAAGTCTTTAGTCACCTTTTATGTAGTTGGGGAAAGAAAAAAAATTCACAATGAGTTAAGTTGCCTTACAAAATTGTATTTTGCAATCTTCAGCATCATTTCTATCACCAGCTCTGTATTTTCCAACCATGGATTCTTCCTCTGTTTTCAACTTTTAGTTTCCAATCACCAGTAATTATCAATGCATCTTGAATGCACACTTGATCAATTTCAGACTGAAGAAACTGGTAGAATTCTTTATCTCATCAGCAGGGACATTAGTGGTTTGTGCATAAATTTGAAGAATAGTTGTTTTAGCTGGTCTGCCTTGTGGTGGTGGTAGTAGTGGTGTGCTGTGGAGTGGATTCCAATTCAGAGCAACTCTGTATAGGGTTTCTCGGGCTGTAGATCTTTATGGCAGTAGAACGCCTTTACTGTCTCCCAGAGAGAGATTGGTGGACTTGAACTGCTGACCTTGGGCTTAGCAGCCCAACGCACAACCCACTAGACTGCCGGGACTCCTTGGTCTTCTTTGTAGGCACTTGGATGCTGTCTTATCACAGCACCTTACAGTTACCACAACTGGTGTTCCATGCACAGATTTGTCTTTACTGGTTCACTTCCACGTTACGGGCATCTCAGTGACCTCAATAAATTATTATCTCATGGGATACGGTACATTTTGGAGTGCTGGTGTGACTCTATAGGACAAGCACTCAACAGCAAGGTCGGTTTGAACTGCAAGTTTAGCGATTGAAAGTCACCAGTCGCTCCTCAGAAACTTTATACAGGGTTGCTATGGGTTGTAACCAACTCAACTAACACATGACAACAACAACAACATGGTATATTTTAACATGTTTGACAAGATGTAGGCTTTCCCTGGGATTGTTAAATCAGTAACAAGCCCATCTCTGTTTGTTGATTCCGACCCCTGGTAACCCTGTGTGTTACAGGGGAGAACTGAATTCCAGAGACTTCTCTTGCCTGTGATCTTTACAGAAATAGATTTCGGGGACTTCCTGTTGAGGCACCTCTGGGCAGACTCATATCAACAACTTTTCAGTGAGCAGTCGAGAGCAAACCATGTATGCCACCCAGGGACCTCCTTGGACTTAAGAGGGATGAGCAAGTATGGAGAGCCCCCCTCCTTGCAGTTCTGGCATCTGGGTAAGGCCAGGCTGAAGGAACACTCAGGACCTCACAGGCTGACCACCTGTAGCTGCTATTCGTGTTTGTGTATTCATCCACATTCTAGCCTGTACTATCTACGTTGCCTTGATAAGCAGCCGAAGCCAGGCAGAACCCCAGCCTCCAAGTATGGGGCCACACTGACCCACCCCGGCCCAGATCCACGTGCCTCAGAGCGGCCTTCAGACTCAGCTCCTTCCTTGCCACCTTTCCGAAGTCGCCTGTAAGCTTTTAGGACAGTGGATTCCTTTATAGAAAGGACACGTGCACATGCATCATTGAGGTCTAAGGGTGGCTGTGAACGCTTTGGGTCCTCAGGGCAGGGCTGTCCATTCTCCCCGGCAGTTTCAGACCAGCAACCCAGGGAGAACAGCGCAGAGACTGGCCCTCGGGATTACTGGCATTCTTCTTTAAAGACGGCCATTCAAAGTGAAAGCCTGCCAAAGGAAGGGTCAGGTATAAACTACAGGGCTTGCTTTCCCCAGAGGGAATGATCTGGGAACTTGGGAGATCCCAAGAGCCTCTCTAAAACCCTCTGCCGTCAAGTCGATTCCAACTCATAGTAACCCAGATAGGGCACCTCAGAGCTGCTCTTTTTGATTTCCAAGACTGCAATTCTTTATGGAAGCAAACTGTCTTATCATTTGCCTGCAGAAGTACTTTGGTGAGTTTGAACAGCCAACCTTGTAGTTGGTAACCCAGTGCTTAACCCACAGCACCACGAGGGCTCCTAGAGCACCCCCTACTTCCTTTGTGTTGTTGCACAGGGGTCTCCCACGTCTAAATGATTTGAGAGGATCTGAGAGGTGACTGAATCTTATGCCTTTATTTTGCAGCAAGGTGGTGCCTAGCACTGCCACACGTAAGTCATTCAGGATAGATGGAGCAGGAGAAGCATTATTCGTATTTTTATGGCTATCCTTTATTAATGTAGGGACAGCAGCTACCATATGTGCCATATGTTGTTGTTGTGAAGTGCCGTTGAGTCGATTCAGACCTATAACGACCCTGATAGTGTTTCTGAGGAGCAGCTGGTGAGCTTGAACCGCCGACCTAGCAGTTCAAATGGCTTTGCAGTCTGGCGCATTAACCCACAGCACCACAGCCAGGACTCCATATGTGCCATGTAGCAAGTGCTTATTAAGTTCCAGATACAATTCTAGCCGCTTTCAAGCAGTATCTCATTGAACTCCCCCCTGAGGTAACCATTGTGAGTATCATCATTTTTCTTTTAAAAAATGGTGTTGTTAGGTGCCATCAAGTTGGTTCCGCCTTGTAGCAACGCTGTATAGAGTTTCTGATGAATGGCTGGAGAGTTTGAACCGCTGACCTGGCAGTTGAAACCAACCTTGTGGTCCAGTGCTTATCCTACAACACCATCATATAATTTATCAGAATCCTTTGGATTCCTGATGTGGTTCTGTAGGATGACAACTAGACTACTGACCTCATGGTTGGTGGCTCAGACTTTCCAGCCACTCCTTAGAAACCCTATGCAGGGTCACTGTGAATGAGAACAGGCTCGACTTACTGTACTTAACAACAGAAATTATGGCTACTAGGATCAACGTGAAGGAAAAGTCACTTAATCTCTAACCTGTGCTTAACTACTCTCAGCTAAGAGTCTGGTATAAACTAAGAAGAACTAAGTTAGTATAAATTAAGTCAGTATAACTGGTATAAACTAAGAACTAAGTTAAGTGTTTAACCCTTAATGTGCCTTCATGTGTTATTGCTTTTGTTGTTGTTGTTAAGAGCTTTCGAGTTGGTTCCAACTCATAGGGTTTCTGAGGAGCAGATGGTAAATTTGACCTGCCAACCTTGTGGTTCAAACCAAACTTGCAGTCCAGTGCATTATCCCACAATGCCACAGCAGGCCTGCTTTACACATAGACATTTCTTCAAAGCATCTTGTTTGATGGGATCTATTTTGTACAAACCCACCAGCCTCCGCAGTAACTCTATACAGGGTCTTTATGAGTTAGAACCAACTCACTGATGCTTAACACCAGCACCAATTGTGTACAATGCATCTAGCTCCAGAATGTTGTGACTATAAGGAGAAAGCCAGTGCCTGGGTATGAGAGGCAGTGGGGAGAGATGGTGGTGGAAGGAAGGGTTGGGATGAGAAGATGTGACCAGATCGGCTTTTAAGAAAGATCTGCTGGATGAGCCATTTGAAATCAAATTGAGAGCAAGGAAAGAAGGGCTGAGGGCTGTCTCTGAATCTAAGAATTGATGGCCCAGATGGTCAGTTCCACAATCATGGTGGCCACTTGGATCGGCTGGGTGCTGGATACCAAGGGCAGTGTCTGCATTTCCATTTTGTGCTGTCTTGTTAACTGAAGCAGAGAGACTGATTCCCCAGGAAAGAATGCAGTCAAAGAAGTTACATAACTTGGAAGGACCCTGTAACCACCATGGGGTGAAAGCCTTACTCTCTAACTCGTGAGGAGATCAGACATACAGAGGCAGTTCACAACTCCAGCAGCCTTCCAAATGTGTAGTGTTGTGTGCTGTGCATGATATCTAAGATATACGGTATGGCGTGGTGCCCTGATGACCCTTCAGTAATTTAAAATATTGCCTTTTTTTTTTTTTTGTCTCTTCACCTTTTTTAAATTCAGGTGAAATTATTAGCATAAACATTTGTAAGTGAACTGCTCTGTGGTACTTGGTACATCCAGTATTGGGCAGTAACCATTATGAAGACTAATATCTTTCATCACCCCAAAAGGAAACCTTGTACCCATTAGGTAGCCATGCCCCATTTCCCCCTGCCTCCAGCTCTGGGCAGTCAGCAATCTTGCTTTTAATTTTATGGTGAATATGATTTATGATGCATGATTCGGGTTTTCTCCTTACATAGGGTTATGCGCTCTTAAAGATGCATGCATTTAAAGGAGGAGGAAGAGATTGGTTTAAAGAAAAGTATGAAATTGCACTCTATGTAGTGCAAATCATGGTGGTCAGGATGGAGCGTTCACCGCCAAGTCTCAAAGAGCTGTCTTCCAGTTCCAGGGCACTGCCGTCTGCCTTGGGGTAACCATCCTGCCTTCCTGACACCTCCTCAGAGCCTGTGTGTTGTGTTGTGTCTTGCAGACCCGGTGCACGGCCCACAGAACGTGGAGATCGTGGACATCCGAGCACGGCAGCTGACCCTGCAATGGGAACCCTTTGGCTATGCAGTGACCCGGTGCCACAGCTACAACCTCACGGTGCAGTACCAGTACGTCTTCAACCAGCAGCAGTATGAGGCCGAGGAAGTCATCCAGACTTCCTCCCACTACACCCTGCGTGGCCTGCGCCCCTTCATGACCATCCGGCTGCGGCTCCTGCTGTCCAACCCCGAGGGCCGCATGGAGAGTGAAGAGCTGGTGGTGCAGACAGAGGAGGACGGTGAGCAGGGGCCATCTGGGGACAAGCTACTCTTGTCAACTAGGAAGCGTTTTGTTTTCCAGTGCCTTTCCTCTCCCTGCTTGTATCTGCCTCTTTTCCAGGGTCTCCTGAGGAGGACCACGTAAGATATGCCTTGTACCAACTCTAGGGGTACTGTCCCCATGGGCAGCTGCAGATCTGCCATGCTCACATCTGGCCCTTCTGCACCCCCTGCCCTCTTCTCACTTCATACCACCCTCAGTGCCTACATTGAGGACCCCCAAATGAGAAAGAGTACAGGCACACCTTGGAGATACTGTGTGTTATATTCCAGACCACCATAATAAAGCACATATGGCTAGAAAGCATATGCTTTCATTCCCCAGTGTATACAAAAGTTACATTTACCCTATACTGTGGTCTACTACGCCTGCAATAGCATTATGAAAAAGTTTGAAATTTTGTGAGGATGACCAAAAGGTAACTCAGAGACAAAAAGAGAGCACATGCTGTTGGCAAGCTCTTGTGGATATATTTGCTCAACACAGGGTTACCACCAAGTTTCTAATAGTAAAAAAAAGCAGAGTACATTCAAATGAGTACAATAAAATGAGGTATTCCTTTACATTGTATTGTTTACGTGTGAGTTTGGGAGTCTGAAAACCCCAAACTCTGTAACAATTAAAATCAGATAATACATAATAAACTGGATACACCTAGAACCAAATATCCACCGTGGGGTTCTGCAGGCATCTCCCCCTCACAGTATCTAAAACTGAGCCTCCTGTTTTACACTGACTCACCTCCTCAGTTTCTCTGGCTCAGTCAATTGTACTGAGAAGCTCAGGATGGAGACCTGGACATTAATCTAAACCAAAATCAAATACACTGTGATTGAGTCAATTCTGACTCACCCCGACCCTATGTATGGTTTCCAAGATTGTAAATCTTTATTTATTTATTTTCATTTCCACTTTTTTCTCCCATGGAATGGCTGGTGTGTTTGAACCACCAACCTTGTGCTTAATAGCCCAACATCCACCCACAGGGCCACCAGCACTCATTTCTCCCACCTAAAAACATCTGTTGATTCAGCTTCCTGCATATGTCATCTTCCAGTTCTGCCCCGAGCTTTACCAAACCAACCAAAAGCTGTCCAGTTGACTCCATCTCACTGTGACCCCATGTGTGTTAGAGTAGAACTGTGTTCCCTAGGGCTTCCAGGGGCTGATTTTTCAGAAGTAGCTCACCAGGACTTTCTTTCAAAGTGGACTCAAACCTCCAACCTTTTGGTTAGGTTAACAGCCAACCGCATCATCCGTTTGCCCCAGGACTCATTCTGAATCTTAGACTCCAGGAATATGGAGCTAATTTTACTTCCAAAAACATAAAACTCTTCCTGCCTCTCTGTTATTACCCACACCAGTTCTCTTGCTTGGAATGACCTCTCCATTGTTTGTAAGACAAACTGCATTAATCTCAAAAGTCTTTGCTCAAACAATACTCGCTCCAGAAAGCTTACCCTGACTGCCCCCAAATAGAGTGAAGTGTTTCCTCTCAGGCTTACAGTGCCACTGGCATGGGAGTCCACCACTGCTGCCAGCTTATTTATGGGGGGATGGGATCTAATGAACGCTTCTCCATCTTGGCCATGTTTAGACTTTCCCTCCAGCCAGACTGCCCCTGGCCTGGTGGAGTGTCTGTAGTTAGTTCTCCAGAATCCTACTTGGAGAGTGTGACTAAGTATTTTCCCAGGAAGGAACTGGCAGAGGAGTCACACCAGAGCAGATCCAGCAAAGGGTGGCTGCAAGCTGGGCCTGCAGGGTAAGCTGTGTGGCACAGCGGTTCTGGATCTGAAGGGATGGCGTTGTCATAGTCAGGAATGCAGAGCTGGGCTGGCAGGGGGAATTGGGAAGTGAATTCGCTGAACTTCCAGCTGTCTGTTCACACAGGTGATGAAGATAACACAGGGATTCGAAGGGAACTGGGCAGAGTCTTACCAGTGAAAGCCACATGAGACAAATGCCCCAGTCTTTGGGGTCTCAGGACAGAGTCTCTGTGGCAATACCTTCTGGTCCTCTTACGTCACATGAGCAACTTACAAGGTGCCCTGGTCCACATACTCAACTGCAAAGGCCCACATGGAGATTGAGGACAGAGTAACAGCCACTTCAAACCCTACCATCAGATTCTGGCTTCCTCAGGTCCCTCCTAGAACCGGACATTTGACACCATCTCCTTTGTGACCCTCCCTGAGAGCCTATAGATCACACTCATGTTCACTCCCACCACAGCCTAGCATACTGTGCTTTCAGTCACCTCTGTAGCTAGCAGGGAAATGTGAACTTAGTCTCTGTCACCTTTATGATTTAACAAAGAATCTCAGTCAGCCCTCAAAGGGGACAGCTCTCTAACCACCATCAACTCTTCTAGTAGAGCAAAATGTTCTACTTCCTGGAATTAAGCGTCACCCAAAAGAGGAAGGTGGGCATCTCATCTTGGCATCTCATCTCATCATTTCACAGCCATATTGGTAACCCTGAGCTGTGTTTAGTTTACATCACATAAGCTCTGTGGTAAATCTGCCAGACCTTTTCTTTGAGCTGGATCTACTGTTCTGAAATGTTTAGCACCTTATTCCACCAAGGAGGTAATGAGACTCGAACCAAGCATTCCAGCAGCAAGGTGCTAAATTCCCAGTCTTGGTTTTCTCCTCTGGAAAATAAGATTCATAGTAGTGCCTGTACATTGTGTATTATTGTGTAGATTGCCAGGGATGGTCTACCTAGTCTCAGGGGACACCATGGTCAATTGGCATAACATAGTCCACAAAGACAATGTTCTCCATTCTATGATGAGTTACAATTAGGATCTTAAAAGCTCGTGAACAGCCACCTAAGATGCAACGATCAGTCTCTCCATGTGTGGCTAGAGTAAGAGAGATTAAATATTTGAAGATGCTTGGAATCAACTAGTCCAATAGGACACATGAACTTCAGTCACCATGACTCTGAGACTGAATTACTGAAGGACTCACATTAGCAGGTCCTAGATAGAGTGGGAGAACATGTGAAGCAAAACTGAAGATTATGGAGAAAAGCCAGGTCTTACTGGTCAGAAAGAGACTAGAAAAGCCCAAGAGTGTGGCCTTCATGTCTGGAATAGAACACATCCTCGTGGCCCAATTCTCAACCAAGCAGTAGACAGGTATATAGGGGGAACAACAATACATGTAAGGTATGCTCACCATGGGATGGGTAACGTTTACCTGAGGACCAAGTTGAGAAAGAGTATGGGGTAGAAATAAGAAGAGCAGGAGGAAGTGGGCTGACTGTTATTACATGGATGGCATTGCAATCATTGAGATGAAACCAAGTGTATGATTTATTGATTGTAAAACTGACCATCTTCTTTGTAAACTTTCACTCACTTTACCATGAAAGTTTTTTGTTTTTTTTTAAGTGTTGTCTATAATGTCAGAATAAGCACTGGACTGCAAGGTTAGTTTGAATCAAAAGATTGGCTGTTCAAAACTCATCAGCCACTCCCTGGAACCCTCTACAGGGTGGCTATGAGTCAGACCTGACTTGACGGCACTTAACGTCAACAACAGTAAAGGAACCGGAGTAACACCTGGCAGACGAAGTTTTCAGAAAACTTAACTATTACGTTCGCAGTAAATCACAGTCAAAATATATCTTGTTAAAAGAGCCTCTGGCACCCCGTGGTCCTGGGAAGGCTTTTCAGAGTCCTAGATGTCCACTCTAGCCAGCTGTACAGGATGGCCATGTCCTCAGTGCCTATTTGAGAAGCAGAGTCAGAGACAAAAAGGTTAATTCTGTGACACATGTACGCAGGGAAGTCCCAGTTGTTAGACAGGGAGGGAGCCAGGGGGTGAAAATTCAGGACTCAGAGGATGAATTCTGTTTGGCTCCAAGGTGCTCTGCTCACCTTAGCTACTTTCCAAGGATTATCTACCTGTGCGACAGCAAATCCCAAGGCCAATCCTCAAGGCATGCCCCAGCCTTTCCCAGCTCGTCCCATGTCCCATTCTTCTTGTCACCAGGGGGTTGGAAAAATCAAAACAATGGGACACCCGCAGTGCTTTGAAATTAAAATTTAATTAAACACCATTAATAAAACATCAATTTCCTATCTACTGAGATGTGTGGACATGATTATTAAAAACAACAACCACACAAAACACCAGTCCTCAGTCCCAAAGCCTCACCTCCAGAACCACTGAAGGAAGAATAGTGGGCACCTGCTGGAAACCACAAATAGGTGTCCTTCTCCCAAGAGAAGAAATGGAAAGAGGCACTGTTTCTGTGTGCTGGGATCTCTACCACCTTATGGACAAGCTGAGAATGAAGCATTGCTCCTGCTGATTAACTGGCGTGCCCCCTCAGGAAGCCAAAAAGGAACCTCTCCACTTGAGTTGACCAGATTCATGCTGCTGTCATCAGAGCTAGACAACTGTCTTCAGGGGCATCTGTAGAATTTGTCATTTCAGCAACTTGTAACGAGGCTATGGAAACCAATGCCTGGCCCTGTGACATCTTTACAGTTATGTTTTAGCCCAATGTTGTTGCCACTGTGTCAATCCATCTCATTAGGGTCTTCTGTTTTTCACTGGTCCACCACTCTATCATGTATGACATCTTTTCCAGGAACTCATCCCTCCTGTTAATATGTATAAGGTACGAGACATGAAGCTTCACCAGAATGCCCCTTACAAGTATACTTGTAAGGGGCATTCCGGGTGTACTTCTTCAAAGATATATTTATTTCTTCTTCTAGTCATCTTTATCGTATGGTATCTCTATTGAAATGGTTGGACATCGACCATTTCTTTTTGGTATATTGACTCTGTGTGTTACTTCCATCTTCTTTTGATGCTTCCTACATTATTCAGTATTTTGTCCACAGAATTCTTCAATATTTCACCTTGAGGCTTGAATTTTTTTCATTTCTTTCATCTTGACAAATGCTCACTGTCTTCTTCCCTTTTGTTTTCTAAC